TTATTTATTTGAATAATGTTATTGAGAGTATCATTGAAGATGAAATTGATAATCTTTTCAATTTTCTTTTCATGAAAACGGTAAAAGTTGAAGCAAGATGCAACTATTGATATTGATGACTTGCAAGTGAATATGAAACTCTTCATTTTATCCATTTGTTGAACAATAGGAAAGATTGAACGTCAAAGTTTGACGTGGCAAAAGGCAAACAACTTGAAATGAAACTTAAATAGTGTCATGCTCATCATTCTGATAATGAATAAATGATAACGTTATTGATGGCAACTATTAAGTGGCGATGATGGAATCAAACTAAAGTCAAAATTGTGCAACAACAGAAAAACAATGAAAAATGGAAACTTTGATTTTAAATGGAAAAGCATCTGAACCGAGTTTATATTGCAACTATCAAATAGCAATTCAATCCCAGTGAGTAAAGAAACACTTTTAGTGCAAAATTAAGTTGTTGAGATAATTACTTTTTCTTCTTCTTCTCTTCAAATTATCATCCAAAATGAATGAGGAGTGAAGAGTGCCAAGAAAGATGAATGACAAATTGAATTTTTTTGACAGTCAAATAGATTGTAAATGTGTTGATGAAATGTGATGAAAAGAGAGATGATAATGAGTCTGATGAATAAATAAGTGAAAGGTGCAAATGATGAATCTGTTATTATAATAATAATGAGAAGTGAAAAATGTTTGAAAAAGATTGAAAATCGACTGAAGGTAAAAAGTTGAGTTAAGGTTAAATAAGACGTGAAATGTTGTAACTTGATTTGTATTCAATCCCAATAGCGATAGACTTTTTGTAATAACTTTTTAAAGAGTCGAGAAGAAAGAAGAAGAAGAAGAAGAAGAAAAATATCGAATTCTATTATCAAATTTTCTTCCTTCATTCATGTTATTCTGCAATGCATTTGCATGTAAACCTTTGGTTTATGCAACTGTAAAGACAACAAAAGCATGATGAAAATGATGGAAGTGAAAATTGAAAAAGAAAATAAAAAAAGACTGAAAATGAAAAGTTATTCAATTTTTGGATTTAAAAACATTCCAAATAACAAGTGAATGGACAGTTAAATGAAAAAAAAAATAATTATAATATAAACAACATTATTCTCAATCAGATCAATTTAAATGTCAAAACAACTTTTCCATTTACATATTATTAAAAGAGAATTTATTTTTCGAATTCTTTTTTTTGATGAAAAATTTATTAATTCACAAATCGTTTCATTGTTTAAGTTCATCATGAAGAGTTGAAAAGTTGACGAAATTTGACGAAAAGATGAAACAAATTTCATTCCCAAAAGTGAATGCTTTGAAAAGAGTAACAATCTTGACAAATTTAGTCTTTTCCAGTTTCCTTGCGTTTTCCTTGCAGTTTCATTGACCTTACGTTTTGTTGTTTCGGCTTCATCTTGACCATCAACTTTATCCTAATCTTTTTGTCATCAGTTTCTCCATGACTTTTTTTAATAAAAATAATACACACAACTGAAAATGAAAAGAAATGATGTTTTCCATTCGGACATGGTTAGCCTAACAATCATTGTTTGACACACTATTCTCAACCCACCCAATGCTTTTCTCATCATTTGATATTATTCCCTCCCAAGAAGAACTCCCAGTAATCCATTTCCAGTAAAAATTATGTTTTCTTTCTTTTCTTTATAACAACATATATTTTCAGTGAAACTCAACTTTCCTTTTCTCTGTTTCTTAAATCGTTGAGACTAGACAAGATGAAATGGAAGCAAAATTTGACCATAAAAATGGGTTGTAAATTTTGTAAAATAGTTCATGTTTTCAAACTGATAGTAAATAGTTGAAGCAAAAGTGAATCCATGAGTTGTTATTATTGCTTTTCATTGATGTTTAAAGGGTAAACTTGACTCTTTGTTTTCACTCTTTTAATATTATATTCACTTTGAAACTTCTCAGAATCTCATGTCAAAGTAAATCCTCTTGAAAGCTATTCTCAACTGAACCAAGATTATTGTAATAACTGTATTTGACCTTTTATCTCTTCTTTTGAGTAGTTGATACAATTTTTAAATTTACCTCACGCAATCAATTTAGTCAAACAGGTAACATGATTGAGTCTATTTGACATTTTCATACATAAAACAATATTTAAAGAATTTCTCGGTTCAGGGAAAAGTAATTTCAAGAATTTCTACCAATTATTCAATTGCAATCAAAGGTTGAATTTAAATTGAATCTCTGTCATTCCAAATCAGTTTCAATTCTGGAGCTTGGAAGATAATTAAAAGCTTTTTTTGGAGAAATGATGAAATGCAATTAATGAAGTTGACCAAAATGAAAAGGTAAAGCGATTTCCATTGATGCTCTTCAATGGTAAAAGGCTTATTTTCTGATAAAGTAAATTGTGTTAACTTGGATACCAAAGAATTGAATTATTTCTTCTTTTATTATCAATGCTTATCTTCTCTCACCTCTGTGCATTTTCCTACTTCAATCCATTTCTTCCGAGTCAAGAATTTTTCAACATTCAGATGAACATTTTGAACTCTTTTTTTGAAGAGAAAAAGAGAACAAAAATTTAAAGAAAAATTGGACTTTACTTTGACAGATTTATTAACTTTCTTTCCATTCACATTTCCTTTTCCACTTTTATGTAACCATCAAATTCATTGAGTTATCCTGACATTGATACTTCTATTTTGCATACAAGTTGAGAGCATTTTGTTTCATCTCATGAATCTTGAATAGACTTTTTTCTTCTTATTCAATTCGATATCTTATTAGATTGTTGATCTCATTTTAAATAATATAATTTTTCCTCATTCTAATGGACTTTTTGCTCGAAAAAGAGAAACTTTTTTCTTCCTTCCAATATCAACAATAACAATAATTATCATCATCATGAAATCGACTGAATCATTCGAGTGAATATTTGTTATTAGATTAGCCAATTCAAATTTATCTTGTTCGATAATCGAAATGATTTTTCCGTCTTTCCTTGTATTCCTTTTGGAATCTTTTGCTTTCCATTTTAACTAATAAATTTTGCATTTTCTTTTCGGTTATTATCTTGTTAATGCCAATAGAGTTTATCTGTCATTCTGTAATATCAAGTTTTCAATCGAATTTCGGGAAATTCTTTTTGACTTTGTTGGTTTCATTTGAACGGAAAAGTGTAATCAATCAGATTGACAGATAATTGTGTTTGCAAGAGAAAATTTTGATTTCCATTTCTTTAGATTAACCTTGAATTGGAATAAATTTTACCGCAGAATTTTGTTCCGGTTTAAAATTTAAAACTAGATGGAATCATGAAAGGGAATGAATGAAACTTGAAAAGTGAAAAGAAATGGGAAAGAAACCAGGGAATGATAAAAAATTGAATGAATTGGTTTACAATGTTGAAATGATTTTTTCGTGTCTTTCAATTATTACATTTCAATAGAGTTAAACATTGAATAACACATCAAACCATTGAAACTTGTTTAAGACTAACCTTTGAATCCAAGTGATCCAAGACCATGTAATCATCAAAAATCAATTCAATTTTACTCCATTTTTTGGTACAAATGAATAAAAGAGTTTGGAAAAATTTCTTGGATTCTTTGATGAGAAAAGAAAATGAAAATTGTTTCCATTTTACTGTAACAAGCATCATTGACCCATTGATGGCAATGAATCAAATGGACATTGCATTTGATGGAAGCAGATGAGGAATGATTTTTTTTGCTTAACAGCGATGAACAGCTTCAGAGTTTCAAAGATTGATCCAAGTAAGATTAAGGATTTTTCCTCGAGTTTGATTTAATAATCTTAACCAGTAAAGGTAAAGAGTAAAGATGATGGAAGAATGGAAAAAAATGAAGATGTGAAAAGAAGGAAAATGATGAAGATAAGTATCATGAGCTCACCAGGTAGGAGGAGAAGAAGGAATTTAAAATGAACTCTGTGCATTTGACTTTTACTTTCAGTTATTGATTTTCAATTTGCGGTTTCAAACTCACTTTTTGTATTCTGTTGAGTAAAGCCAAAAAAAGTTAACTCCAAGTTAACCAACAGTGAAATGCTTCTAATAGAGTCCAAGTTTTTTACGTTTTTTACTGGAAAAAAAGTTCCAAAAAAAGAAGCTAAAAAGTCTATTTTTTGTTCAACAGCAAAAAAAAAACAAATAACGAAACAATAGGCATTTAAAATGGTGATATTTTTATCTGAAGTCTAATCAAACTGTTTTAGCGTTTAGTCTTTCAGATGTATTCTGTTGGCAAGATTGATTAGTTTTATTTTAATGAATAACATTGAAGAGTATAGTATTTGGCCCGAGGGTTGAGATGAGAGAGAACAGGAAATTAGTTTGATTTTGCTCTCTTTCCAAGCATCTGGCTTCATCTATTAATACCCATATTGAGGGTTACCAATGAGTCTTTTTTTTCATCGCGTTTTGTTTTTTTCAATTTATCCTTTATCGTAAAGTTATCGAGATATATTCACTTTTATTTTCTCACTCATCTTGGAGTAAAAAAAGTTTATTTTTTCTGTTGAAACAATTAACTTGCCTTTAGGTACAACATTGTATAATGTTCATCAATGCCATGAGAAACAAAAAAAGAACTGAAAAATTTCACTTTTTTTCATCGCATTTCAAATTTTCTTCAATCTCTATTAAAGTTGATACAAATCAACATTTTCCGAGTCAATTCGCTAATCGACAGTTAAATATCTTTTTAACGCTTTAAGGTCATTAAATGTTAAAAATATTTTATTATTAATAAGCGTTATAAAGAATCATTACAGAAATAAAAAACAATTTTCTGATTAATTGAACTTTAATCACAATTTCGATACTTGGCTTTGATCTGTTTCAATCAAAGAAATTGTATTTTTCAATATTTTTACATGAAAATGATAACTTTATAATGCTTCTAATCACAAAACTAGTTTTACATCAATAACACTTTTCAAATAATCTAATCTTTCTCTTCACAGATTGTAATTTACAGTCAACCCCTTTAACTTTTCCCTTCATTTCCATTTCCTTTTGTGATTTTGATACAAGTCAAGATTTGTTGACCATTCATTTATGTCTTTCCTAATAACCGTTTACTCGCATAACCTTTAATCAATGTTGACCTTTAAAATTGTGAATCTCTTTAGTGCTTTTACAGTGGAATTATATTCTGAAAATGTGTTTAAATCAAAGAATCTTCTTATTCTGATTTTGGCGATCATGATTGACCATCACTTTGCCATGTTTTACAGCTTCTCATCACCTTAAGGTAAACACTCAACTTTAGGACGTTTCCATGATAATTATTCCTGTAACGATTTTGAACGTTGAAAGATTAGCTTTAATCAATTTTTATTGTTGTAGGAACAAATTAATTCTTCCAAAATTCTAAACAGATTATCACAGTGAATCTGTTTACAAATTACTTGACATGAATTGAGTATTACCTGTTAATCTGTTCATCTCTTCTGTATAATAAATCTATTTTAACATTCTGTTAGTCGAACATTATTTTCACATTTCATCTTCTTCTCTCTCCCATGATTATGATTGTTGATACATTTGATGCACAACTAAGCAAACAACTAACCTAGTAATTGATGTTTTTACTGGCAACATTTCATGCATCAGATTACTTTACCTCTGTTAACGCACAATTAAAGTCATGTTTATACAATCTCTTAAAGGCTTTCCTCATCACTTTCAGCCTCACAATCCTAAAGCATTTGTTTGTCCAGTAAACAGTTTTGTTCATAAACAGCAACTTTACATAAAAAAATGAAAACTAAATCAAGTGTTTACTTTAAATCTAATCAATTGATTTACCATTCAGAGTTGCTCACAGAATAAAGTCAATCATTTTTCCATGTTTACTAGTGAAATGATGAACAATGAAACAGGGAAGGAAGATGCTTAATGAGGATGCAACTAATGATTGTAGCTATTATTTTACTTGAACAGCTTATTAGCATTGAACATCCTTTGACATCATTTAAGATCCATGATAATATTGATTTGATAAACTTGTCAGTATAATAGTAAACTCTTTCTTCTCCTTTTTTTGTCATCTTCTTGCATCTTCCATCTTCTTGTTTGTTATTGTTGTCAATTGCCTTTCATTTCCACTCTTCAAGTATCAACATGAACATGTGAATGATAATAATAATGATAAAGAGGATTGAACAAGAAAAGTAATCAAAGTAATTTTCTCTTGTAAAGATGATAAAGATTTGGAAGGAAAAGTTATTTCGATGAGAATACTAACAATCTATGAATATCTCAGGTGACCTTGTTATTAGTCTTTTATTGCTACCAGAATATTCACCTTTTATTGTCTTCTTTCTCATCATTTCCATCATCTTAAATCTTCTTATACAACTTATTCAACTTATGATGGCACTTTTACTCTGTAATCCGATTAAACTTGCAATCAACAAGAAAAAAAGTCAACAATTATTTGGAAAAAAACTGTTAATTTCCATGATTATTCATGTTGCATTGAATTTCATCTTTGCTTCTGTTGATCGGAAATTATCCATTTTCTCGATTATTAAATGTTGCCCATGATAAACTGATGAACTGTAATCATTTATTTTTCGTAGGAGAAAAAGTGAAACAAGTTTTCATGAAATATTGTTTCTTTACGTTATCAAACATTTCTCGTTACCAATTGATGAAGGTAAAGATTACAGTCTTGATCAAGTTAACTCTTGTAATAACAGTTTCAAGTTGGTGATTATCATCATTTGTTTCCAAATCCTAATAATTTGTCAATCTGATTAACGGAACAAAATTGCAACCATATTTTACTTTGTCTGATAATTTTAGTTTATTAGGTTCATTTCAACATTGCCAATCATTTTTAATCAGCAATAAATCAAAAAATTGATTCTAATGATGCACTTTACTCAAAGCCTTAACTGCAACTTTCATCTCTCTTTTACCTTCATCAAAAGTATTTACAAATGATTAAAGTAGCATTTGGTGAAATTGAAATGTAATATGAAAAGATTCATTTGATTAATATTAATGGATGAATTTTGTTTGAAGAGAAGATGAAAAGTAGTATAATCTTTAAATAAAAGGTAACAAGTTTATTTTTCAGGTTTTTGTGGGTTAACATAATTTGCAACCTCAATGGATAAGGACGCAATCAATGAGCCTGATAATGGATCAAGTTTTAATCATGTTGAACCTTTGTAACTTTCATCTAACAAGGCTGTTTAAGCTGACAATCAACGGATAAGTACAGATTGATGAGTGTGATACAAGAAGAGGAAAGAGGTTGAACAGAGGGTGAAGAGCGTGACCAAGAGTAGGTGAAGCTTTTAGGTTACAACTCTCACTGATTGTGGGTTGTTAACTGTTGGATGAAAGGTAAAAATGATTTTGTCACACAAAGATGAGAAATTAGATATTGAGGAATCTCTTTTTCCATGAAATCTCTCTTTTTGATTATCAGGTTCATTACTGATAATTTTGTGGTCATTTTAACGGTCAGCTAATGCAAAATTGCTTCTATAATTTTATTACATAATAATGATGATAAAAGTGACAGATTACATTTTACTTTAACATCATTATCATGTAATAAACAGTTGAGAGGATAATTTGTAGCAATCAGTAAATTTGATTCCTATTAATTAGCCAACCGACAATCGATATTATTATTCAAAATTATGGTTCTAAATGTCAGTCTTTTCAACCTTATCATTACAATTTCAATAGTCGATTCACCAAATAATGGTTTATTCAAGCGAAATCAAAGTTTGAAATATTTTATAAAACAAGTTAACAAAATATCTTTGCACTCATCGAGAGTTGCATTACAATGAAATTATTTTTGTGAGATTGAGTTATGAGATTTTGCTTTTTATCAATTTACACATTTTAATTGAAGTTTATCAAATTAAGTTGCAATGAATATGCAAAGAGTTGAAATTGTTTATCATTTCGTGTTTCAATTGTCAATCACAATTAAGTTAAAATGAGAAAAGCTTTCAATGTAATTGAAAGTCAACGTCTATTTGATTATTGTTATAAATTGATGAAAAGTTAATGGGTTTGATTACTTATTGACGAGAAGCTTGGTAAATGATATCCAAGCTAATTGAGTGTTATCATGGGAGACGCAAGAAACAAGGTTATGGTCATCGTCATTGCTGAACCATCATCGGTATCATTATCATCATTACCATGGGAAGTGAAAAAAATGTTAGGCAAACACAAGCAGCTAATAATGGGTATAATGTGAGTTTGAGGAAAAAAAATGATCAACATTTGATTGTCCTTCTTGGCTCAATAGAAACTTTTTTTTAATCTCATTTGTTATTGAATGTCACCAATGTTCTCTTTATGGTCATGGAAACAGATGATTTTGTCTCAACCTCTAATTTTAGGTTTGCCCTCTCGGACTTGAGGTCATTAGACGAGACTTTCTCATCTGTTGATGTCGCCAGCCAAGGCCAGTAAATGGAGAGACATGATTAGAAAGCAATAATGAACCTCGAATCGTCCTCTTGTACATTGCATGAGTAGAGGGTTGGACACGCAACAAACATTTTCATTTTCAACTTTCCCTTTTTTCCAAATGGATTCCCTGGTTAAACCAAATGATGCATTAATCAACCCTCAAACATGAGGTCAATCATATGTTACCTTTTTGCTTTCCCATCGTTTCCTAATCAAATAAAGGTTAATTTTCAATTCATGACTGACAATTTAAACTTGATCAACCTTCAAACTCCATTAACAACAACAATTTTTGCTTCATTTTCTGGGCAACTTTATTCAACCATTTTTTTCATCTCATCCAAAAAACTAATTGATAACTTTTCTCAAACTCTAAATGGTTTCATCAATTGACTAATAATTGTTGATAATTGCAAGTAAACATTACGCTTAGAGCTTCAACTTGCACAACCAAATTAACCTGATCATGTTGGTTACAGGGCTTACTCAATTGAGAACTCAGTTGAATACAATAATTGATTTAATGAATGATAATCAATTTAGCCTTTTCTTTCCATCTTTCAAGATTGATTCTTTTCTTTACCTCACTCATGATTATCATCTATTTAACCAAAAAATGATATCAGTTTCATGAGGCATTATGAGCCAACCAATCGAATCCTTTGCCTACGGCCATTGAGAATAATCTTTGCAACCGAATATCCATGAAAAAAAAGATGAATGAAGAGAAGAAAAAAGTTTCATCCATTTCATCATTTTTTTCTTTACCTTTTCTCTTTCTTCTCATGGGAAGTTCTTAAAAATTGATCTGTTGACATGAAATCCTTTCCCTTCATCATCAGTTCTAATGATTTCGTGATAAACACCATTCAAAGTCATTTCGAGTTTCAATGTTTTGCTCTTGTTTTCCTTTGCTTCAACATTTTTTTATAAGCTTGTTACATTTATATCTTTGCCTTCCTTGGGTATTAGCAATGTGATAGACGATGTTAAACTTATGTGTAGCAAAAGAAGAAGAAGATGAAAAAAAAGAAGAAAACACCAAAAGTTGAAATTTCCTGATATCATGTAATTTCTACCTTCTAACATCATCATCAGCCTCCATTTACTGGGCAACATTTTATTAATATTATTGTACAAGCATCATAATTTTGTTTCACTGATGATGATGATTGCTCGACTCTGTAAAAATGATGAAAACGATCAACTTGGCCCATCATCTTTCTCCAACCCAAACTTGATAACATTTAATCCTGTTCATCATTTCCTTATGCACTTGGTTATTACTGTTATTAGGGCGACACTCTCCATGCGATTCCAATTCCATATTCATTCTTAATCTCTAAACTTTTCTCTAAAAACATTTTGTTCGCACACTTTTATTCAATATCTTTTCTTCCCTAATCTTGTTAGTCTTCTGATCAACATCAACATGTGATTAAAGCAACATCATTATTATCCATCTTCGCCTAATGATATGGTTCATTTAGATTAACTTGATTTATCGTCTTAATCCACTAAATGACCTTTAATGTTATCAACCTTTTCCTACAAAAACTCAAACTTCTCCCAACATTGAATTTCCATTGAAATTACTTTTGGAAACATTTTGTTTCTTTTAAAGACAAACACTTTGAATAAATTTAAATTATTTTTATCAACTAATTAGCTGAATAATTTAGCAAAGTTTGAAGTAAAAATTTTGTTCATTTACTTTGAAGACAAGATTTTGAAGTAAATTTAATGCAATTGCTGGTAATCAATTGAATGAACAATTTAATGCTCTTGAAATTTTTGACAGCAAACACAATTTGAGGCACTTTTAAAGGAAATTTGCTTTCAATTGAATCAACTAATCGCAATAATCTTGGTCATAAATCTCCATCAGATGTTTAAATCAAATTGAAACATTTTGTTGGCGATAACAGTTTATCAAGTTACCTTTTATATCAATTGTGTAAACTGGACATTGGTTTGTTTATTGAAATAAAAGACAAACTCTGGACAAGTAAAATAATCAGCTGTACAATTGGATATACACGAGTGGCACACTTAGATTAACCTTAAACCGTAAGGTCAGAGGTGGCTCAATACGCATAACACATGCCTTTCCCATTGCCTCTGTTGGCCTCACTAAACTCACCTTTTCTCTGTTTATTTCAATGAAAAAAAACTTTCTTTTTGTTCCTCCCTTTTTACCTCTTCATTTGTTCATCATTGACTCACTCTCTTCTTTTTCCTCCTCATCTGCAAATGTCTCTCATTCTCACTTTATTTTGGCCTTTTCTTTGCTCTCTCTCTCGTCATTAATTTTTCCTTCTTTTTTCCTCTTCTCTCTATCTTCCATGTTATCTCTGTATTCCTAGTAAATGGACAATGTATCAGTTAACCAACAATCAATTCACCTTTTTCCGGTCAATTGTTATTAACACAACAAACTCCAAGAGACAAACTTTCCTATCATTAGATTATCACGAGTCAATAACATTTGTCCCTTTGTTTACTAACCTCTTTTGTTGTCTTTTCACAGGTAACTGAGACTTGTGAAAATATAGTCAAACAAAAGCCTACAATTTTCAAACCTTTTCCCTTGAATTGGTTAATTAGTGAACATTAATATCGCTTAAGACTTTCATTGAGTAACTTTAATGTTTAGTTCAATACTGCAGCTCCATCTTGCGATTATTTTAACAACTACTCAATTCTCTGTAAAATCAATTTTAAGCTTCTCTTAACCTCGATAGCAAAAAATTATCAAATGCTCGATAATTTCGGAAAATTCATATTCTTTTTCGAGCTCATAACATTGAACTTGGAAATTTTTTGAATTTTCTACTCATTTTTTTCTATTCGATTTGTGTCAGTCTTTTATTCACATTAGTGCTTTAAATCTCAAGAAGTTTATTTTGAGATGTGATTTCCATGTGAAGCCTCGACTTGATGAATCATGATGCTTGAAGATTGAAGATTAATTTCAATTTCTAAAAATTCTGATTCATATTGTAAAGAACAAAAACAGAACTTGAATTTTGTAGAAGCCCAAATTAGCTTTGAAGGACTTGAAAATTAGCTATTTTTCTGATTCTTTATTGAGTTGAATTATGATGAATTGCCATCCAGTCATCTGAACAAATTAACTTTACCAGAATTGAATCAATTTTAATCTTGAGATACTTCATAATTGTGAAAACACTTTCATGTTTCAAATCAGTTTCATTCAACACAAGAATAATTGAAACTTTAATCCTCGAAATTATTCATTATTCAATTCATCTGTTGCAAAATTTCAATAACTCGAAGCTTCAAATGTTAAGTAAGTTAAAATTTAAAATTTGAAACATTGAGTGACTGATGTTCCACTGAAAAGGAAGTAATTGAGAGAATTGACTAATTCATTATTGAATTGAATACTAACAGGCAGCCTTGATAACATCTGATTAAGCATAAAGAACAAAAATCGAAATAATTTTCTGATATTTAACAGAAAGAAAGAACCAGTTTTGCATACAATTAAACAATAGAATGAACTAAATGTAAAAAGATTGAATATTATAATGAAATCATTATTTTCATCGTCAATGCCTCAAAGGCATTCAATATACATTTAATGAGACCGTCAAGACAAAAAACGAAAGTTGGCTTTTCAACGATTACGTTAATTATCATTTAATATAAACATTTGCAAATGCTGAAAAATGCTGGGAATGTAAATCTCTCAGAGCAAACATAATTCATTACAAGAACCATCTATAAATGCCTTATCCAGTCTGGACCATGAATCTGGACTTTACATGTAAAACTCATTTGATTGTTGCTCCAAGCAATTGACCTTTCATTGGAAACTTGACATTGACGAAGAAAAACAATTTTCACTTGAATTTTGAATAAACCATTCAACTGGACTCTAATCAATGCTATGAACTACTCGACTGAATTTGAATTTCATTTTTTGTCCTTTTAAAGTTCGCTTTTAACCTTTCAAATATTTCCACAGATTTACCAGAAAGTGGTCCAACAATCGAACCTACGACAGCAACGATAGCAAATGTTGACTACATCAATGTTACCTGTAAAAGTGGTCCTTCCAAGCCAAAGGCTCGTCTCTCTTGGTACATCAATGAAGCTCTAGCACCTAAACAATATGTTTATGATGAAGATTATCTGTACAGTTCTAAAGATACTTCGAATGGTTTGAAGTCTTCACAAGTGCGACTTTTATTTCCCGTTTTTCAACATCACCCAAATGAAAACTATTATCGACTTCGATGTGAATCTCAATTTGTACAAAGTTTCTCTGAAATAGCTCAGATTTCAATTAAACCTCTAAACCAAAGGTCAAATGATAATTTTACTGCAGGTAAGTGAAGAGTCTTTTTTTGTCAATCATTAATTAACAAACTGTTTTCAGTGGAAAGTGATTAAATTGAAAGTAAAATTAGAATCCAAAGTAATTTCAATTAGTGTTTGGTTATTCATTGAGTAACATTGAAAGAGTAACAATTAGTAGTTTTCACTTGAGTCAACATGCTTTTATTGTGCTTTAATTGAGAAATAAAATCAATATTTAACTATTTCAGAATCAATAATGAACTTTGAAAAGTACTTTGAATGCAACTTGCAAATCTTTTCATTACATTGAAACATCAAAATAATTTGACCAAATGTTTTACAAATTGAATCGTTAATTATAAATGAGCAAAAGTTGAAATCAATTCAACTTTCATTAACTCAGAACTCGAAAAAAATAAGAAAAACTTTTCCCCTTTTTCATGTTTGGCTTTGAACATTGGACATCACTGATTAGATAAAAGAATTCATGTTTTAACAAAAATCCGGAAATCTAATGAATTTAAGATTCTAATTTGATGAAGTTGTTCAGAAAAAAAGAACTCTTTTTAATTCGATTTCTAATATTCTGTCTCGATTTTAAGTCAATGTTTGAGGAAAAGTCAAGTTTTTCTGTTTCTTTTTGTTTCTTTTTGTGTGTTTCTCGAGTAATATTTCATTGAACATGATATTCAATTACACTTGTACTTGTAGCTGGTCAGTTGATGGGTTAGTTGTCAACATGCAAGATTGTTGATATTGGGTGTAACTCTGATTATCAACATGAACATGAAACTGGTGATAACAGATGAAATGAATTATTCCAATGTTGAGTGTTTCTTTTCCAGTCAAACGATTTTGATGTTTTCCCAAACGGCAAATGACACTCAATGCCATTGTTGCCCTTTTCTGTCTTTTATTCACATAACTGAACCTACCTAGTGTATGATAATTAATAATCTTGAGGCGGATTCCATGGTTTTTATTTCATGATTGATTCTGACAATCCCAGTTGTTCTTTTCTTTCAATCTTTTCTCATCTTCTCCCTAATCATCATTTTTCATGTTTCCTTTTCGTAATTGTTTTCCTTTTTTTGTTTCTCTTCTTTTTTCATCAGCTTTCATCATTGGAGCCATGCGTCCTTCATCAGGTCGAAACACTGAATCAATCAATTCGAATAACGATTCAGTGATTAGTAAAGAAGGAGATTTGCGAATTGACGGGTTAAAAACAACTTATCACTCTAAGGATCGAGTCAACTTGACCTGTCGAAGTGGCAAATCTCCAGTTCGCTCAACTCCAACTAAACTTACTTGGTTAATCAACAATGTTGAGGTGAGTTTCGAACAAGAAAATCTTTTCTGAATTTCTCAAGTAAATTTATGTTCTTCTTCTCAGGCAAATCCAGAAATGGTTCAAACATATCCAGTCGATTCATTGGGAAATTCAGCATTGGGTTTATCCTTTAATCTGAATCAATCTTTTCTTAATAAATGGTCAGATGTCGATGATCCTAAACGGTCCAAGATTATCCTTAAATGTTATGCTCTTTATGAAGAGATATTATTTCAATCGAGTAAAGAGCAAACAATTAGACGGATAACGAGGGAATCGAAGAGTGAATCTGCCGCTGTCAACACTGCCGATCAAGGTGAGTTGCTGATCGAACTTTATGCATTGAATTTGCAACGAGTTTAATATTTTTTTCTTTTCTTTTCTTGCAGTTACAATGAATTCTGGTGCTGGCTCAAGGTTGCGCTTTGTTGATCAAATAATGAAACTTTTAATCACAATTTTGGTCATTCTGTGACCAGAAAAGAAAACTGAATCGAGTCATTTAAAAAAGAAATGTAAATAGAGTAAATATATTTTTTGGTGATTCTTTAATCTGCTTGCGAATAAGGATTCAAATGTGTACAAAACTCGTGAAACGAAATTAACTTGCGACTAATGATGCCAAAAGGCAATGACATTAATGAAACTCTGTTTGAATGAATGAAAAATTGTAAAATCAAAACTTTTATTTACTGCAAAAATAAACTTTTTTCTGAAAAAATCTTCAAATGCTTCATGTGATTCATATATTGATACAACTAACAACTAAAATTAGGTTTATGAGATTATAAATAAATTGGACAATCCACTGAATTGAAGTGAACTCAATTTGGAAACAATAAATGGCTTAAAATTAAAGTCAAAAACCGTTAAAATAAAGTTTCGAGTTTATAGTTGATAGTGGTGACATCTAATGTTATTTACACTAATTACATTTTGAAGCATGTTTTGTTTTAAATGAACCTATTTAAAAGCTTCTAAAAATGTTCAATTTATCATCTTTTTAAGTTGCAACTCAATTTTTTTAGTAATTTTTAGTAATTTTTTATTTGGCTAAAAGGGTTATATTTTGTACAATGTCATTGTTTAATCGTTATAACCATTTATTCATCTGTGTTTGTTCCTTTTATGTCACTTGTTTATCTTTTTTTGTCAATTGTGCTAATTTGTCAGCAATGATTAGGAAACAAGCAAACCTGGAAAATTAACCAGGATTATAAATATCTTACTTAACCAGATTTTATTGTTTTCAATGGTAAAGGTTTGGAAACAATATTGGATATCATTTTATTGTTCAAATTATCTTTAATCGTGATTCATCTTTTACATGTGAAGTTGCTTGTGAAACAAAAGAGATGTGAACAAAATCAAGGCAATAACGGCTAAGATGACAAGTCTCATCATGATATGGATTATCATAATGAATTTCATGGAACATGCATTTCATCTTTTTCAACTCCATTATTGGAAAATGGTTACCAATATTAGTTTTACTGATAAGCTTATCACACTTCTACATCAATATCAATCTCATCCTGGCAAACAGATGTGACACGAAACAAAATGACAACTGATGACTGTGGTGGTTACTTGATGTACTCAGCTTTTCTCGCCTTTCCTTATGAAATAAGAAATTTACACGATAAAGTGTTAATTATGACAGATTTATGTCGGTATTCTTGATGAGCTTGATTCCATCATATCTGGAAATATTTTTGGCTTATTTTGGTTTTTGATTTAATCTGTACCAGGATACCAATTATGTTAATCTTTGAACATCGATGATAAAGTCAATTCAAATGTTCTCGCAGATTGGATGAATTGAATCTCAGTGAGTTGCTGAACAAAATGAGGTTTTACTTTATTTTTATACTGAACATTTTTTCAGTTTCAGGATTCAAAATTTCTTTGAATTTGGACCCGGATCCAAACGATAAACTGAGCCAAGAGAATGGACTTGATTTAAAGGAAAAGGTAAGTAACACTGAAAGTTGCTAACCCGTGATATCATTTTAATGCTCTTTATGCTTTTAAATACTCCATTCCACAGGTTGTGAAACGATCATATCATTTAGGGTTATCTCAAAGCGAAAAGTTGATTGACGAAGAAGGTCCCAAGAAATGTGATTTTCCAACTAAATCAGGTTCAAATAAGGTTCAAGATTTTCCCGAAAGTTTCGATGTTCGTAATGTTTGGCCATCTTGTATATCAACTATCACTAAATCTGATGGAGCAAGTCATCCTTCTGCGCTTTTAATCTCAGTATTTCAAATGTCTGATCTTATTTGCACTATCAATGGAGACAGAATTGATGGCCAGCTGACTTTTGACCAAATGGAAAAGTCTTTTGAAGATTTCAAGCTAAGTTCCGTCATCACCAGCGGTTGCAGTGCCTACCAATTTTGGAGTGAAAATGGCATCTACAGCGTCGATTATCAAAAAACGGAAATCTGTTTACCCTTTTCGCCTCAATGTAAACCTTCCTTCATTACCATGGATAAATATTTTAAAGTAGATGTTACTATTCCGTTGAATATACCAGACAAGATGAAAGACATGATGTCCAATGGACCAGCAATTGCACTCATAGAAGTTTATAAAGATTTTCTAGAGTATAAATCAGGTAAGTTCAGATTGAAAAAATTAAAGTCAAAAGTACTAATTTTAGCGCTCTCATTTACTTAGGAATTTATGAAAAACGATCTGACGAAAAATTAGGCGTTTATCCTTTCAAAATTATTGGTTGGGGGACTGAAGACTGCGTCGACTACTGGTTAGGAATGAATTCTTGGGGAGAAAATTGGGGCGATAAAGGTTTGTTGTGCTTACTTTTGGCTTATTTTTGTACTTTAAATAATAGATCTTCAATAATTAATTGTCTATCGATATTAATTAGGTACCTTCAAAATCCGCCGATCTGAAGAAAATGGAATTCTGAGAAATTGGCTTTCTGTTTCTCTCAGGGAACAACCAGTTAGCAACTATGAATTAAATAATGAACAAAGCTTCTTCCTTGCTCATAAAGAAGACGGCTCTAGATACGAAAATATCAATGGCTGTTTGGTTGTTGACTGATATTGGTGACATAACTAATTGCTTGACTGCAAGGTCTTAAATTGGGTTAAGAAAAAAGTGAAAAGAGTTATATGGAAATTTTGTTCAGCATTTCCGTGTATTTATTTGAAGTCTTTCCGTCCATATTTAATTCAGACAATTGGAAATAAATTGAAAATAAACGTTATCGCAATTGAAACAATTTACATGTGCTTATTTAGCATATCGATGAAAGTGCACGGAATATTTAACCTTGCATCATTTAAATGAAAAGATTTGATATCATCAAATTACTATTAATGAAGGGATCAATTGTGGGGAAATTATTAGTTTATATTGATTTGGAAAACAAACAAGTTGAACAAAAAGTACAAAATGAATGTCTTTTTTGTAGCAGTGCTCTCAAGCTATTCAGTTTATGGCATCCTTGCATTAATTTCAGATGATTTGGAGCCATTAACAGATGACATGATTAAGGCAATCAACGACTTAGACACGATATGGAAGGTAACTATTTATTTTGATCTGTATCTGCAAATGATCTTAAATTGTGATTTATTTTATAAGGCAGGCGCAAATTTCAACGGACATGATTTCAAGGAGATAAAGAATCTTATTGTTACTTCCAATGAAAATTATGATACTTTTGAAAAGAAAGTTTTTGATAAACCAAAATTGCCAGAAAATTTCGATGCTCGAGTGGAATGGCCAAACTGCACTTCGATTGGTCAAATTTACAAGCAAGACTCGTGTACACCATCCTGGATCTATGCTTCTGTTGGTCAAATCGCTGATCAAATCTGCATTAATACTGGAGTCAAAATCGATGTTGAAAAAACAGTTAAACAAATGATGAAACATTATGGCGATTGTGAATACAACAGTGCAGATTTTGTCAAAGCTTTCAGGTATTGGGTCAATTACGGTGTTTTTACTGCCAAAGCAAATGGGTCTGAAAGTTGTTATCAAACACCAATTTCAGTTAAATGTCTATTGAACTATGAGATTGAAAATTATTTTCAACTGAATCCTGTTAATCCAAAGTCATATCGTGATAAAATGGTGGCCGTGTTAAATGGTCCCATAACTATAAACTTAGATGTTTACTCAGATTTTTTCAATTACAAATCAGGTAAGAACATATTTCTTGAAACTTCTTGTGATCATTCAATTTGTTTAAAATAATTTCAGGAATATATAAACGAACTTCAAGGAAAAAGATAGGAACTCATGTTGTCAAGATTATTGGTTGGGGAGTGGAAGATGATATCAAATATTGGCTGGTTGCTAATTCATGGGGCGTTCAATGGGGTGATAAAGGTATGAATATGAATGTACAATCGCTTCTTCCCAACTATGTTTGTGTGTTAATTCATTTCAATTAATACAATTTCACATTTAATTTTAAGGTTTCTTCAAAATCCGACGTAATGAAGGTGAATTTGGAAACGATATTCGTTCGGTCGCTCTTTCAATCTCAAGTGGGAAAATGCCAAGTTCATACAACAGAGATCAATTGTTTTACTTGCAGCCATATTGATGGCAATCTCAAGACCACTGAAATAGTTTATGCTAATATATTTTTGCACCCAGTCTAATAAATTATTGCAATGCATGCTGAATGTTGATGTATTGAGTTTAATACAGAGACCTATCATCAGACCTATCAAAAATTCTTTTTTAATTTTATTTTAACGCAATTATGACAATCCGTCTTAAAAAACGTTTTTTTGATTTTGATAACTTTTCTACGAGACTCTCTTTCGTTCTCTCTACACTAAATAAGCATTTTTATAAACACTCTTTCTAGCAAGAAATGTTGCTCGCAAGTTCAAGTACTATTCAAGTGCTATTAACTAAAAAATAAAGACGGATAATGGCATGTTTACATGGATTTTTTCCCTGGTGGATTGATATCGAGTTGAAATCAATAGACTGAAACTTGGAATAGATTTGCATTTCATTTTATTTTGAAGCCTGTTACAATCGAGAATCAAACAAACTTACAAGGCTGAATCAAGGCTGCTCATTTGTAATAGACACTTTCAAGTTTATAATAAAAATCAAAGTAAAGTTGAAGAGTAACACAAGAAAACTCGGTGACAACGGTTCAATCCGTCTTCGAAAGCGCTTTATTTTCCTTGTTCATTTTGGGATCCTCTCTACGATTAGCGGTGATTAGGTGATGTTTGCGATCGGGCGAGATTCCAGAAATGATGAATGTCATTCCTATTAGTAATTGATGTAACTCTGGGCGTTGCAGACCAAAAGCATAATCATGCTAGCATTTTCCATAATATACTGAAGTATTAGTAAATCAATGAAAATATAAAAGTTGAATATTAGTATAAAGGAAAGAAACGATTAAAATTAAGTTAACGAGAAAAATGACGACTTCATTTCAAATGATAAATGCAAATGAATATTAAACTCTCATTTGATTTGAAATGACATCTGATTGATATTCGTGATTGACAGAAAAGCTTACAACGACGAAGAGGTATCGATCGATTGTACAGAAATCACCAATCTTGACTCCTGTAAATGGACCCATGATACGATCGAGAACTTCCATTGCCTGTGAAATGGACGACGAAATTTAATTAATAGATTTTACTGTTTGATGAAAGCAAAAATGAAATACTAAAAACAACCTTAGAGTGAGTTCCGAAATCTACTTTTTCTTTAGCTAAAAGACTGGTGTAACGTTTATGTATAATTATAAGCTATAGAGGATGAACGATGAAAGCAATTGTATTAATATGGTGCATTTGCGTAGATGAAACGAATGCAATTTGTGAATATTGATCAATAACAATTTAAATACCCTTCCATGTAAATTTCCAGCTGCATAAGAAATTAGACCAATTGCGAAGAGAATAAAAAAGCCAAGAGTTGAAAAAAAGTTTTGAAGTATTGTTGAACCAATATGAAGGATGGGGCCCAAAAAAATAAAAGTATCCGCAAGAAAAGAAATGCCAACAATCACAAAGACAAACAAGTAACGCAAGTCTCTACTCATGACGTCTAAAAGGTTAAGTAAACGGATTGTGTCAATGTTTAGTTGACGAAGCAAGTGAGGTTCAATCGATTTAGGACTAAAAAGGTAACGTTCATTAAGCTCGATTATTGATTCTATTTTAAAGATAAACAAAGGAACCAATACAGTAATATGAGCACCAATATCAAATGTCCCACAGGCTACATAAATAAAACAAAACGATTCACTCAAAAACCAGAAAAAACTTGTGATGATTAAAGTTGGGTTATCAAGACCAAAAGCCGGGTTTACTAAGTGGACAATGGCTATGAAGGCTGGAATGATATAAATATTGAATTGTATTATTCGATACCAATTGACTAGAATTAAATGGAAAGCTACTCGAAATTTTTTTCGTTGTTTTTCAGTTAATCCAAGCCTCTTGCAATCAAATCCATATTGTCTTATATCTCGCAAATAAGTTAACAAAATTGAACTGCCGATGTCTTCAAGGTACATAATATACTCTCGTAAAAGGGATAGAGTGAAAACAAGAGAAGATATCATGAAAGCTATTGCTTGAGCTCCTTGAAGCTTGTAAAAAGGATTTGCGAGGTAAATTTGCATCTCGTCTGAAGTCTCGTAACATAAAATGAACAATCGAGTGCATAGGATTATCGCTGATATTCTGATGAGATTATTCATTAAATGGTATCCAGATTGAACTATTTCTCGTTTATCTTGGTCGTGTCCACGGCGAGTAATGTATAACCATAAGGCAATATTTTCCAGATCCTGGAGACGATTTGCTGTCTCTGTGTAATCATCGACGTTTTCATCGTCTAATAGGCCAAATATTTTATTGATGAGTGATTTAAATTGACTTGGGAAACGGTCCGCAATCAGGCTGAAAAAGTTTTTGATCCGATCCATGTTTAATTCAGTTTTGATACTTTTTCCTTTCCAGTTCATTTGACATTCACAGTTTAGAGTAAGATACAGAAGTGAGGTTTCATAATGAAATTATTCAATTGTTATAATCTATTTAAATTTCTTATTATTGACATTTCAAATTGTTTATCATTAGTTACCCAATGATAATAGTTCTTACAAAATCAATTTAATCAATTCTAAAATCTTGGGCCCTAATGAATTTTATTGATCGATGAATAGTTTAAAAAAACTGAGATGAAATTGAAAAGTTTTCACTTAAAGTTGTCATTGTTTCTTTAAAATAAAGTTTGCTTTTCATTAAAATATTGATCAATGATTGCGATGATTTTTACTGTCTATCGTTCAAATATATTATATGAAGTGATTGGCTGGAAATATCTATAAGATGAAAAATTTATTAGTTATTAACATTAGTTATTAATAACATTTACAGTGTCATTAAAAATAATTGAACTCTAAAAGCTTACTAACAAGGAGTCGGCATGAACTGTTCGTCGAGTTTTCTGATGCAATAGATATTTTTATTTAGCCATCAGGGGTAATATAATAGTTTCAAGGCGAGAGAAGATTGAAATTAAGATCAAAAGATTCAGACTTAATTTTAAATGATCAATTCAAATGAATCGTAAACTGTCATTTGGTATGAAATCACATCTGATTGAGTTCCAAAATCTACTTTTTCTTTGGTTAAAAGTCTGGTGTAAAGTTTATGGACAATTATAAGCTATAGAAGATTGAAAATGAAAATGAATGTTTACTTAGATTTCTTCAGTTACAAATCAGGTAAGAACATATTTCTTGAAACTTCGCACGAGCGTTCTATTTGAATGAAATATTTTCAGAAATATATAAACGAACTTCAAGGAAAAAGATAGGAACTCATGTTGTCAAGATCATTGGTTGGGGAGTGGAAGATGATGTCAAATATTGGCTGGTTGCAAATTCATGGGGAACTCAATGGGGTGATAAAGGTATGCATATCAGTTTATAATCTTCCAAACTTTAAAAGGATGCTTAATTTTTTAATTTCAATCAATACGATTTCTCATTTAACTTTCAGTATTCTTTAAAATCCGACGTGGTGGAGGTGAATTTGGAAACTATTAGCTCGGTTCTTGTTTCAATCTCAAGTGGAGAAATGTCAAGTTCATACAACAGAGATCCTTTTTTCCAATTTTTTTACCTGCCAGCAGATTGATGAGTAAATCAATAACCAATGAAATCTCATTTTAATACATTTGTTTACATTAAGTTTTGAATAATTTTGATGCCGTGTATTCATGAATAAAATAATACTGCATCTAAATCTATTCAAAATAGATATATTGAAATAGTATTAAAAATAGTAATGAAATAAAATCGAATCTCTAACAACAGTCAGTCAACATGATGGAATAATTTGAAAGATCAAAGCAATGGAAGAATGCTTGACCTGATCATCAAATTTTTACATACACTCTTGTTAGAACGATAAATACTCTAAGAATTTACATTTTAGCTTATTTTGAAGCCTGTTACAATCGAGATCAAATGAACTTACAAATTGCTGAATCAAGGCTGACCATTTGTAATCGATACTTTTAAGTTTATAATAAAAATTACACTGAAATTGAAGATTATCACAAGAAAACTTGGTGATACTCAAATATCGGTAGATCTAATGAGCTTGACTCGCAGTAGAAAGAAATCAAAACCCAATTCAAATTCATATTTTGGCACAATGCGTCTTAAAGGACGGTTTATTTCTCTGTTCATTTTATGCAGATTATCAAGATCGGGCGAAATTCCAAAAATGATGAATGTCATTCCATCTAGTAATTGATGTAACTCTGGGCGTTGCAAACCAAAAGCATAACCATGCTAGCATTTTCCATGATATACTGTAACATGTAAAAATCAATGAAAACATAAAAGTCGACTATTAACGTTAGTAGAAAGGAAAGAAACGATTGAAATTTAGATCAAAAGAATTTAGACTTCATTTTGAATGATAAATTCAAATGAATAGTAAACTATCATTTGATATGAAATGACATCTGATTGATATTTGTGATTGACAGAAAAGCTTACAAAGACGAAAAGGTATCGATCGATTGTACAAAAATCACCAATTTTGGCTCCTGTGAATGGACCCATGATACGATCGAGAATCTCCATTGCCTGTGAAAGTGAAGACAAGATTTAATTAATAGAATTCAATTTTCGATGAAAGTAAAAATTAAAAACTAAAAATAACCTTAGAATGAGTTCCAAAATCTACTTTTTCTTTGGTTAAAAGTCTGGTGTAAATTTTATGTACAATTATAAGCTATAGAGGATTGACAAAGAAAGCAATTGTATTAATAAAGTGTAATTGACTAAGTGAAACAAATGAATTTTGTCAAAAATTCATCAATAGCAATAAACAATCTCAATACCCTTCCATGTATATTTCCACCTGCGTAAGTAATGAGACCAATCGCGGAGAGGGTGAAAAAGCCAAGGAATGAGAAAAAAGATTGATGTAATGCTGAACCAATGTGAAGGATGGGGCCCAAAAAAATAAAAGTATCCGCAAGAAAAGAAATGCCAACAATCAAAAAGGCAAATAAGTAACGCAAATCTCTACTCATGACGTCTAACACGTTAAGTAAACGAATTGTTTCAATGTTTAGTTGACGAATCAAGTAAGGCTCAATAGCTTTAGGATTATAAAGGTAACGCTCAAGAAGCTCGATTATTGATTCAATTTTAAAAATAAACAAAGGAACCAATACAGCAATATGAGCACCAATATCAAATGTCCCACAGGCTACATAAATAAAACAAAACGATTCGCTCAAAAACCAGAAAAAACTTGCAAAAACAAATGTTGGGTTATCAAGACTTAGAGCAGGGTTCACTAAATGGACAGCGGCTATGAAGGCTGGAACGATATAAATATTGAATTGAATAAGTCGATACCAATTGACTAGGATAATATGGAAAGCAACTCGAAATTTTTTCCGTTGTTTCTCAGTTAATCCAAGCCTCTTGCAATCAAATCCATATTGTCTTATTTCTCGTAAGTAAGTTAACAAAATTGAACTGCCGATGTCTTCAAGGTGCAAAATATACTCTCTTAAGAGGGATAAAATGAAAAGAAGAAAAGATATAATAAAAGTCATTGCTTGACCTCCTTGAACCTTGTAAAAAGGATTAGCAAGGTAAATTTGAATCTCGTCTGAAGTTTCCCAGCATAAAGTGAACAGTCTGGTACAGGCAATTATCTCTGATAGTCTGATTAGATTGTTCATTAAATGGTATCCAGATTGAACTATTTCTGGTTTATCTTGATCGTGTCCACGGCGAGTAATGTATAACCATAAGGCTATATTTTCCAGATCCTGGAGACGATTTGCTGTCTCTGTGTAATCATCGACGTTTTCATCGTCCAATAGGCCAAATATTTTATTGATGAGTGATTTAACTTGACTTGGGAAACGGTCCGCAATCAGGCTGATAAAGTTTTTGATCCGATCCATGTTTAATTCAGTTTTGATACTTTTTTCCTTTGCCAGTTTCTTTAACATTCACTGCTCAAAGTAAAATGCAGAAATAATGAAATTATTCAATTGTTATAATCTATTTAAATTTCTTATTATTCGGTGACATTTCAAATTGTTCATTATAAGTTACCCAATGATGAAAGTCCTCACAAAATCAATTTGATCAATTTTAAAATCTTGGGTCCTAATGAATTTTATCGATCGATAAATAGTCCTAAAATAACTAACAATTGTAAGAATAAATTGAAAAGTTTTCACTTAAAGTTGTCATTGTTTGTTGAAAATGAGGTTTGTTTTTCATTAAATTATTGATCAATGATTGCGATGATTTTTATCGTCTATCGTCACCATATATTATACATGAAGGGATTGGCTGGAAATATCTATAAGATTAAAAATTTATTAGTTATTAATAATATTGAAAATAATATTCAAAAACAATGACAGAAACCATTAAAAATAATAGACCCGAAAGGCTAAGATTGAGAAATTGAATATTCAAATGATTTTTGAATGTGTGATTCACATAATTAGATTTTAGTAAAAATAATAAACGATCTAAACTGCGTCAAAATTCATTTTATGATCCAAGTTTTAGATACATGAGATTACTGCAAGATTTAACATCGGTGGAAAAATATTCAATTGAAGGTTGAATTTGATTAAAAGTAATGATTGGTATAGGCTCGTAAATAGAGTTACAAATTTAAATTATGATAATCAAATATATTTGATATCAAATTTTATTGACAAAATATGATTGTTCAAAGTTTTCAAAATGAGGTACGTCTGATTTGAGTACTCTATCATGTTTTGGAATAGTTAGAGTAGGTCAAACAATTTAAGATTAATAAAAATGAAAATATTAATATAATAGTAATCAGAGTTGCAACAACAAAAGGAGTCAGACTTAGATTGAATTTCAGATATTGTCATAGTCAATTTTGTTAACTTAACTCTGATTACTGCTGTATATAAAATAATGAAATTTTTTATAAGATATGGCAATTGATCAACTTTAAACTTTTACAAAATGCAAAAAAATGCAGAATTCTTGAGATAGAGATTCAACAGGTTATCTTAATAATAGGACTGTCTGGGAAACGTCTTTGAGCCGTTATACCAAATGAAGTTCCCATGAATATAACTCTCAGTTTTGGATGATCTTGTATCATGCCACGGAGAACAGTCAAAAGAAAATCTTTGTTAGAATTGGGTTCGTGGAGTTCATCAATAATAATGTGAGATATACCACGTAATCCGTCTTCCATTTTTTTCAACAAAATGTCAATAGTACAAAATAAAATGGCACCAAATGGACGTGGAGTCATGCGCCTACGACCAATATTATAACCAACACTAGAATTTTCTTTGAAATGCTCACATCTTTCATATGCTATTCGCTCAGCAACAGAAATAGCACTTGAATGTCTTTGTTGAGTCATAAGTATATTACACAGAGCTCCATTACCTTGAGCGATGAAGTCATCCAAAATGAATTGAGGCACTTGAGTAGTTTTACCACAAGCAATTGATCCACAGATAAAAACAACAGGGTTGTTGCTTATTGCGCTTAAAATTGCTGAGCGATAATTCCAGACTGGTAGAATAGATTGCTCGTAAGTTATTCTCATTTTCATCGGAGAGTTGAGAACAGAATTACAGATACTCAATCCAATACTAATCTGCTGTAAACTCATTTTACAAAGTAAACCAGTGGTTTCACGACCTAACCAAGCGTCCCAAATCGGAGTAGGAGGACACCAGCCGATGTGCTTTTTACTTTCTATTTTTTCTTTATCAAATGATGCACTTTGTGTACTTTGCCATTTAGGAGGTGGCAAGGTAGCAACAGGTGCGTTTAAGTATTTCGTCACCTTATCCTTAGTAGATGGAAAGAAAGTATCAATTTAAAAAGAAATAATAACAAGATTAGAAATTAATTATTGAGAATATGTTTTCAGCTTACCTTAGCCTGTTTGTCTTTTATGGTATAATTGCTCGGCTTAATCAGTCCATGATGATACAGTTTAGTAATCAGTTGAAATGCACAAGATTTTGATGCCATTTTTTTATTCTGAGCAAATGCTTGGGCTTTTAATTCTTGGATGATAGGAAGAAGAATTTCATTTTGATTTCAGTGAAAACAAATTCAACTGTAAATTAACTTACCATGCCCCAGCTGCTTTACAAAAAATGACAAAATGCAATACCATCCACTAATGAAACAAAAATGAAGCATTAATACGATGTTATAGAGTATCAGTTTTGCTTACCTTTTAGTTTTCATACTTTGATAGTTGTAATTGAGTTTTATTCCGTTAGCTATAGCAAAGTTACCAAGATCATGTTTGCAATTATCCAATGTCCAGCCTTCTAAACTTTCCGAGCTGTTATCCAATTCAATTATCTTTTTTCTTTTTTGAGCCAAATTCGCTTCTTCCGGGATACGGTCGAACCAAAACGTCTCATTTTCATTACAGTCAAGTGTAGGGTCGTGTAGTGTTGAAGAATCAGGTGCCATACTTGTATTATGTGTCAATACAAGTGGTATATTTGTGCTTTGTGTTGATACAGGAGGCAAACTTGTATTATTTTTCGATATAACTGGTATGTTTGTGTTATGTGCCTCTAAAGGTGGCATAGAGTCAAGTTGAATAACTGGTGGGCCGCAAGACAAAGTGTCTTGATCGATTAAGCCTTTATATCGCAAATGAGCAATGAGATCTCGAGCAGCAGTACTCTCTGCTTGTTCTTTATTACTGGCTGTACCAATACCAACGTAATCAAGATTTTTAACCGTAATCTAGTAAAAGATCAAAATTGGTGAATCAAATATCAGAAGATAATCATTGTAATTTATTCAATTAAAAATTGACACTTACCCGACACATAAACCTTTTCTGATTTCCCATTTGATTGGTAGCATAAACGGCAGGAGGTAGGTTTGCCTTAATAAGGCCCGATTTCAACTCTTCCTTTTCACGATTAGTCATGATTATCTAACAAAGGAAACATTTAGTTTCAAACCAAAAAAGAAAACAAGAGTAGATAATTTAATTTAAATAACTGCACTTATAAATTAATGAGGAAAAAAGTAATTAACATTCAAATTCTAAGATTATGCAACTGTTTCTTAAACCCTTGCGTAACTAATAACAACGATTATTGCCATAGAGTTGAGTGCCATCTATGATTACAATTTTGATTTTTAGTTATATAATTTAGATAAAACCAAAGAGTAAAGAGTTAGACTCTTTGGATATACACTTGAAACACTTGTTTGATGAAGTGAGAAAAGTGCGATTCTTCGCTGTTTATTGGTCAACCTTTATTGGTTGTATGGGCATAAAACTGGTTTCATTTCTTGAATTAAAAAATTTCTCTTATCGACAGTCTTGACAAAATTGAGTTCAAGTTGAAACTTTTATCTCTTTTTAAACAGTTGAGGAACCAGAATTTTCCCCCAAATCTTCACTCGAAAGACAGTTTTACATATACAGTAGGTGTTAGGGTTAAGTTAACAGAATCAGATATTTTATTTCTAGTCGTCTTTTTACAGTAAATGTAAGCACCAATAAGATCGAACTTTATTTTGTTCAGTTTTCTATTGCATGGCTTTTTTCTTATCTCTACAAGCTACAAGTGAATACGCTCGAGATAGCGACACCTAAAAATTACCTTGGGTTTGACCCTTTTTTAGCTTATCCCTGACCACTACTATCTACTGATGGTTACATTTTGGACATTTTGACATTATAATCGTGATCGACTCAATAAAATTTATAAGATTTAGATGACCCTTAAACTATTTATTAACCATATGAACTCAAAGTCTAAAGTACGTTAACACTCTTTAGACTCAGAAAAGAATCAATCCAAAACAAAAGATTTTAATGAGTAAATAAATCATAACGCCTCTTAAATACCACGATTAATGTTATTGTTGTTTGCGGGATAATCAGGGAGATAAATAAAAGATTATACACTCAAGGTGACGTTTAGAAAAGAAACTGAACCAAATAAATAAGTTTAGGTGATCAGAACAATTCACAAATTGTTTCTGCTTGCTGTAACTTCTGTAACTTGTAGTTCGATACTATGTTTCGTTTAATATCAATCTTACTTTTAAGTCAATATTTTGACTTAATATTGTCAGGTAAGTGATGAACAACTTAAAACAAATTGTTACTCTTTTATAATCAAAATTAACATTTTACAGAATCTTTGAATGATATCAGCCTAAAGGTTCAAAGTGGATCTTGGATCATCAATTCATCTTTAATTGATTCTGTAAGCATACTATTCAGTTTGATTCTTTGCGATTGTTTTCTGAACAAAATTACTTCTTTGAAAGGAAACCAACACTAAATATACCTTGAACGAGGTTATCTATTCTGGTGAATACATCGAAGGTAAGATTTCGATTTCATCTGGTTCGCTCAAATGGGATGTTATTTACTCAACAATCAACCCGAATCAACGTCTTGTTATTCACGGTAAGGAATGTTGATTGGAAACTTTCTCATGAGTTAAATGATTTTTTTGTGGTTCATTGCTAAATAGATAACCAATGTGATCTGTTCACTTATAACACGAAATGGGAATCAAAGTTACCGGGAATAACGAATCCATTGTTAAACCACATTCTTCTGGTCGGACCTTCAGTTACACATAGACTGGGCCAACTTTCATGGGTAAGTATACCATAAGTATGACCCAAACTAATAAGCATGAAAATACGGTGACCTTTACTGCGTTTGAAATTCGATGCGTTTTCTGAATGTGTTGCTCAAATTGTCAGTATTATTTTGCTGAAGTTTGAAGCATGACACTATTATTTCCTAAAAAATGTATTTCGGATTCATTCAAATTGAGCTTATTTCAACTCAAAAAATTGAAAGAGGTTAAAACCAAAAAGATCATAAACTTGGAAAAAGAATATTATAAGTCAATGTTAATTCGCTCAAACTGATAATCATTTCGTCCATCCAGCAAGAAGAGCCTGACACTGAGAAGAGAGGAGTAACAATGTACAGTAAAAGTACAACGATTGGAAGAAGCCGTTTGAATATAACTAATTATTACATAAAAGGTTAGTTTCATTTGGTTTTTATTATCTATTTAATATTTCTGGCAACGAACGAGTCATCGTCTCCATTGAATAAACTTTGACCCTGCTTGATAGAATTCATTGTAAGAAATAATTATGTAGAGCAAAGTTTGCTTAATTGTACTTCTTAAACCCTTTTAAGGAAACGAGTAACACCAAGGCTATGAAATATTGGCAGGGATACAGAAAAACGCCCCATTTGCCGAAACTTTGATCTTTCATTATCTTGAATGAATTTGTTGAGCTAATAAGTTTTGCTATCCATTAGACTTTGCTCTATCTGAAGATTATTGCTATTCAAAGTGAAATAACTTTTGACTACCCTTGGGAAACTTTTTAATTGAACTAAATTTGCAATCGAAAGTTGATTCGACTCGTTATGCTATTAGACTAGACTAGATACTTTGCTTTCGCCATTTAATCAAATAGTCAACTCTTTTTATTTCAAAAATTTATGACAATTGTCATAATTAGGATCATGTCATCGTTTATAATAAGGATAAGCGATTTGGTTGTTAAAAAGATGAAGACCTAATTTTCATGATAATTAATTATCTTTACGTTTAAAACATAACTTTATTGACTCTTTCGTAGCTCCATTTGAATCGCTGAAAGATAGTATTGCTCCAAGAGTCACCATATTCACTGGCATTGATCCATCTGAACCTGACTATTCCAAGCAAACAACACTAACATTGGACACTTATATTCAAACGGAAAGCTCTGAAGCGGATTTACATGTAAATGGATTTGTTAAAGTAAATTGATTTTCATATTACACTGTTATTCAAATAATCAATCAAAACTGTTTTGTTTTTAACTCCATATTTTCACAGCCGGAGCCTGGAATTGGATGTCCATTTTATTTCAGTCCCACTACTCGTAAACCACAGCTTTTTAGCCAAGCATTTTCACGATTACATTACATTGTAGATACAACCGTGAAAAAAGCCAACTCAAAGTCGAAGAAGACGGTGAAAAGAGAAGAGGTTTGTTCATTATGACTCCAGTGGAACAAACTTAAACTTGAATCTTCTTTCCCTTTTCAGGTTTATATTGACCAGTTAACACAACAAATGTATATTGAAACCACAATCGAAGGCGAAAAAACTGAAGAAATTTATGATTTCACTTTGGGAATCAAGTATGAGGACCAATATTTAAATTCTTGTCCAATAAAGCAACTTGATTTGTCCATTCCTGGAATGATAGTTTATTCAGATCAGGGTGCAATAAATATAAATGCGCATCTTGGTTTCAATTTGAGCTATAAATTTTTAGGAATCGTTCAGAATGTGAGTATTAGAATATTGATTGTTTGCTTGATGCTCATGATAATAAAATAATGATCACTTTCAGAGTCTTTCATCTGGAAGAGACTTGTATGTCTGGGAAGCTGTTGAGTACAACAAAACATTTGAAGACCAAAAATGTGACAAACTTGTAACAACTCAATACCTACTTTTGACCGTAAGTAGAGTTACTCATTTCAAGTGTTGACACTAAATGACTAAATTCAATTTTCATTGATCAGAATTATGGCAATCATGGTGAACAGTTTATACTTCACTCAACAACAATCAATGGCTACACGAAAACAGGCGTAAGTTTATAAATTATACATTTGATTAAAAACTTGATTTTTAAATTAAATTTGATTCTCTAGAATAATTATATCAAAGTCCTTGAAACAAGTCGAGTTTACCGCAAATTTGAACCTACAATTCAGAGTGAAGATTATGATTTAAAGTTCAATGTTGATAAATGTTATCCATTTGAATCACAGCATCGAACTATTAAATTACATTTCAGATGCCAGGGTAAGTATTTCTTAAGTCCAAATCTGATTCCACTAATAACTCTTCTTATTGATATCACTCAAGATGACTGTGACCATTTCAAATCCCAAATATATGAACATCGATATGCTATAAAATCAATGATAACACGAACTGATCAAATATCGTCTTCAAGAATATCCAATATTGAAGTTATTCCCGACTCAAATGGAGCGACTGCCTACATAACGTTTCTTGAAGCTCCAGAAATTAAAGGTAACCAGATCTTTTTATCAGATTAAAAAACTCAATTATTCTTTTTTTTCATTAGAGGCGTTCCACTCCGATAACAGATTTCTGAAGACTGAGAGACTAATCCCTGGATCGTCAACATTTATAGCGCAACGCCAGGAAGAATGTCTTGAAGTTGCTGCAAAATCAGCAACAAATTTTCAGTAGGTTTCACTTTAAATTTTCCAATCGTTTGTTCAATCAGAGATTTCTTCAAGTTCAGAAAATTGTTTACATATTTCGATAATAAACATTTTTCAGGAAAATGCGTAAAAATATGACTAAAAATTTGGTTTAAACATCAAAGGAGATTTTTGAGAACTTGAATGCCAAGAAGAATTGCTGTAAATCATTTCATTGAGGATCTAATTACTTTTCTCCTTTAAACAGGACAGTTATCTATTGTTATAAACAAAAACATTGTTTCGCATTTAATGAACAAAAAGACTTGACTGAAAACGAAGATGGAGACTGGTGCGATATCTATCAAATTCCTTTGAAAAATTTACACCGCTACAGTCAAGAATTGCCTCTTGATAAAATTGACTGGAGCATTGAATGGAAAAAATTGATTTACAGCTTAACCGACGCATCGAAAAAAGCATTGTACTCATGTGATCTCATGGAGAATGTCGCATCAAAGGCTCAGAGACATTTTGATTCATATTACCTTTATGACGATCACACTAGACTGATACCAAATGATGAAAATATACTCAAGATTGATGGAGTTAAAAATGTTGGCGAATGTTTCCATGAGTGTCAGCAGACAGAGAAGTTTGACTGTAGATCAATATCCATATGTCCTGACGTTGATCAACCCGAATGTATCATATCAAATGTCTCGAGAAGGGCATTAACAGATGATGATTCGATAACCAATAGGTCTTGTAAAGTTTTGTACATAAACCCAATGCTTTATTATGTGAAGGTTGCGAATAGAAAGTACAAAAATCCAGTAACCGTTTCAGAGTTGGATTTTTATGCTGAAAATTGTGCCAATTTATGCTATGAAACAGACGATTGTTTATCATTTCAAGATTGCAATAGAGATTGTACTTTTGGCGGATATTATACAGATTCCTCGACTGAATTCAGTCAAGATTGTGACATTTATATTCGTAAGTAACCATATATCCATAAACCAATCTTAACTCAAGTCCATTAATATTGATCCATTGTCTTTTCAGCCAAAGTACTTCACAAGTTTACTGATAATGGCAAAAGGATAGTCTCTGATGTTTTCCATACTGAGCTTGGGTTAAATTCAGACCAATGTGCTGCTCTATGCCATGATTGGGATAATGGAGATGAAGTTTGTCAATCTTTCAACTTTTGTCCATCAACTAAAACCACGAGTTTATGCGAGTTGTCCAAGTATAAGATAGAGGATTCGACGACAAAAACAATCGACTCTAAAATTTGTCACAACTATGGTTACATTTCATCAGGCGTTACAAAGAGTCAAAATTCAAAAGATGATGGCCATGAAGGTTTAAGTGGGAAAACTGTCATTAGTTTGATTGCGGTATTTGTTGGCATTGGCTTCGTGGCTGGTTTTATTTTGCCTTTTGTTTATGCAAAGTTTATATCGACCCAACACTCTAGATTAAATACAAAATAAGAAACTGTTATATCTTTTTTAGAAGGAAATAAAACGATAAAATTTTTGCTGATAACGGCATGATGACAGATGAGGGCTGAAAAATGATGCTGTCGTTATAATGGACTTCTATTAGTTCACATGAAGTGTTGAAAATAAACATCTCAAGATTACTAATTCTTTATTTGAAAGTAAAAAGTTTTATCTTTTGCTGTATTACAGAACTAATAATTCTGAGTGCTTTCATGCTTGTTTCATTTCGATCTGAATTGCCTTGACGTATTAATGGCGTTCCATTTATTTCAGACCGTTTCTTTTTACCTATGTAACTACTGCGTAAAGGGCTCTCATCTTGCATAGGACTATTGAGCAAATCAAAAGATACTTTAAAGATACTTTTGAGACTGAAAAAGAGTATTGAAACAGATTGTAGAGTTTGATCTGTTGATTTAAAAACCAAAAAAGCGGAGGGGTTGGATTAACAGCATAATGGGTTTGCCTGCGAGTTAGCAGAATTAGCATGTCCTAGCAGAAATCAACTCATAATTGAAACCTGATTGATTTTTGCTCCTATTGTCAAATATTGTCATCATTACAAGCACTTTTTGCAGAATCAATTTTTGCAGAATCAACGAGATTGGTAGCAGATTAGCGAGATTCTTCTTTTGTGACAATTTTTTCTTGTTACGAATTTCGTAATTTTTTTATAAGTTATGCGTTTATATATATTTTGCAAGTTTTACGCATCCTTCAAAGCTCGCTCTAACTTTAAAATCAGATGTAAATTCTAAAGTTCTTGCAGATTCTATCACTCAAGTGTTTAAACGATGGCCAGTAATTGGACGATAATCTCGGTGAAAGACACATAAGAAAACAACTTCTTAATTTTGTCAACTTGTTTCCACCTTCATTGAGGAATTCTATTATCCACATAAGTTTTTTATGAGAATGGTTTAAGGATTTATATCGATCAACACATCAAGCGCTTCCTTAATTCTCATGTCAAGTTTAATTTCTACCATTTTGTCAAATCTATCAGAATCTATTCATGAAGTTTTGCGTTTAACTGGAGAAGACTTGTATTCTGATGTTGATGGACTAGCTTCATCATCAGCTTATGTATCTGACCAAAAGTCAGAATCAGAATTAACATCTTCATTAGCATATGAATAGTAATCTTCTTGAAGTTCAAGTGAACCCTGAGATTCATTTTGGATAAGATACTAAAGAATAGCTGAGAAGTTTTTGTCCTCTTCAACTATAGCTGATTTAAAACTATTCTGGTTGCGTTTTGTTGCAATTTAACAACATTAGCAGGATTTATCATCTCTGAAAGTTAAGAGAATCTATACCATATATAAAGTCAAAACATAAAATTTTTGCGTAAAGATTGTGGCCAAACTAAAAGGATTCTAAGAAAATTTTTTCACAGCCTGAAAGCCATGATTAAACTACATCCACGAAAAATAGTCTGAACTTCATCGGAATTCAGGTATCTGAGAAATTAACGTTCAAACAGGGTGGGGAAAAAATGCAGAATCCGTATCTTTTACCATTGACTTTGGGGGAAAAAATGTTTTGGTTTTTCAGGTTGATTGTTGGTTTATTGTTAAATTAGAAGGATATGTGAAGCCATTTTTCGAGCTAAGGGTAGTTTAAAAAATCTGTATTCTAATATTGTAAATCATATCTCACAGTTGATTAGGTTAATTGTTTTTGCTTTTAAGCATTATTTGGTTACCTTATTGAATTTGGTTAATTTGGTGTTTTTGGTTAATTTTTTTATCATTCTGGTCCACCAATTAAACATTATTTCAGAAATAAAGGTATCTATTCCTACCGCTATCACATTATTATCTAATTTAAACCTAATTTAATATGTAGCTTTTGGTCCCCGAAAATTTCGAAGCTCACCTCAATTCCTTGACTCATAATGGCCACCATTAATATGGTAAGATTTTTTGTTACTGTTTTAGTTTAACCAAAATCTTTACGCAAAAATTTCATGTCTTGACTTTATATATGGTATAGACAAGCTGAGCCTCGATCATTACTGATCGTAAATTTCTTTTCACTGAATACAAAAAACCCAATCCACATTTAAATACTCAAATTATTGATGCAAAACCAATGTCAATGAGACAAAATCAAACATAAATTTGCTTCAACAGTTGAGGCAACATATTTTTTACCTAACTCTTTGCTCGAAAAATGGTTTTACATAGCTTCTTATTTAACAATAAACCAACGATCAGCCTGAACAACTAAAACATTTTCCCCTCAAAGTCATTGGTAAAAGATATGGATTCAGCTTTTTTCACCTACCCTGTTCAATCGCTTATTTCTTAGTAGCCTCAATTCTGATTAACCTCTGACTATTTTTGTGAATGTAGTTTGATCTTGGCTTTCAGGGTGTGAAAATTTTCAGAATCCTTTTAGTTCATTCACAATCTTTACTCAAAAATTACATGTTTTGACTTTTTATATGGTATAGCCAAGCTGAGCCCTGATCATTATTGATCGTAAAGGACAATGGCCAAAAACTTCGATTTCACCGTTAAGAGTTGGGACTTAGTGAGTTATTAGGGGTATAAAAACTGAGTAAGTGTTCAGTTTTGTTCAGCTATGTAAGCAGATTTTTTTTATGAAATGGATTCACTGATTCAACTTTGATGTTCAACCAGAAAATCTATTTATTTTGAGAAATAAAGCTTTTTTAAAGCAGAAGTATTATTTTCAGTTGAATCGAAAGCATTCTGTGATCTTAATAGTTAGAGATTGAAAATTATTCTTAATCTATATGGTTGGATCACATGCTAGATCAAATAAATTAACCGATTTATCAACAGTGATCTTGATTTTGTCCATTGGTCTTAAAATTTGAGCTCATTATTTCGAGATTCGCATCACTTTAAATCATCATTCTTCCAACAATTTGATTCTTTATTAATTTATAATTCAATTCAATTTAATAACTTTCCATTAGCACATTATGATATTATTGTTGTAAATGCACAAGCAACAACTTGTTCAACAAAGCAAACTCATATCAATTCATTTCAACTTCAAAAGTCAATGCAAAAAAACTGTGGAAGTCTCGAACATTTGAGTAAAGACTTGATACTTATTCTTGTAAATATAATGGAATCTAATCTCAATCAGGCAGTTAAAATAAAATTTACTCTCCGATTTAGGACGGAAACCAATAGATAGCAAATAAAAAGAGAATCAATGATCTAAAAAATGAAAAAATCAATGAGCAAAAGATGAATTCAAGATCAACACTAGAATGTATTACGAAAATAAATTATTAAATTTATGGAAATGAACATTCAACTATTTGAAATGAAATGAGTGAAACGCAGATCAATTTTCAAACACAACTGACTAAAAATGTCAGTTTCTTGCTTAAACCAGTTTATGAAGTAGGTTAACTTTGGACTTAACAGGGGCCATTGTTAGCTTTGTTACAAAGAATTCATCTTTTTTAATTTGATCAAAAATTGCCATATTCAAACCCCTCGGCCTCATAAAATGAGCTAACAGACATAAAAATCAGGGATTGACACTTGGATAACTTCCCTTGTTAGTACAATCAGTTTGAGTAATGAAACTTAATGATTAGACTTATGTATTTCTTTCATTTGGTTTGGTCTGAGCCTAAACCTTCATGACCCGCAGATTCAATATAGTTCCGGCAGCTTTGTTGAAATTGTTTCCCAACAGTTAAGTAATTAAGTAAAGCCGCCACTAGCGCTGATAATACTTGTATCCGAATATTTTGTGAATTTGAATTTTTTTACAGGTTTTTTGACCAATTTCTGTTCAATTATGTGTAATTTTTGTTAAATTTTTGTGGTTGTCTTCTTACTTTAACGGCTTTCAAATATCCGCCGAGAATTCCAATAAAAAAATATTCGAATGTAAATATTCGCAAAACTATCAGCTCTAGCCGCCATCACTAATAAATTTGTCTCAACAGCAGTGGAAGTACCAGCACCTTGAATTAAGCATCTGATTCGTTATACAGTACAGAGTGGCGAGAAAGTTTATGTGGGTAAGCAACGCCCATTCAATATGCGTAGAAACCAATTTTTAATTTGTTTAAATCGATGACTTAATTTGTTCATATTAGCCGCTCTTCTATGCGCTTCTATTGCCCCTTTCCACATAAACTTTCTCGCCACTCTGTAATTATACGTTTATATTTACAAAAGGAAAAACGCCATCTATTGATACGATAACTAGAAGAATGGTCATAAGTCGAGCAGACGATTAAGTTAAATTGTCACCCCAGTGAAATGATTGCAAGAAAAAATTTAGTTAGATTACCTCTATCAGAGAAATTAAATATAATTAAAGAATGTCAACAATCGATAGTTACTATTATAAAAGACATAGTGTAACTCGGACAAACGGTCAACTATATTCTACACAAGGAGAACGATCTACTGGCAACAACAAGTGAACATAAGATGTTGTAAAAACTAGGTTACCAAATAAGTGTAATCTAACTTAAATTGAAGATTCAATGAATGAATTTATAATAAAGTGTAATTTCAAGCAAATACCTGTTGATGGTCAAACCTTTTGTTGACAAACAAATAAATCGAAAAATATCACTGGGTTTAAAGCTTCACATGGATTTATAAATTACTTAAGAGATGAGGAATAACAAATGTAACAAATAAAATCAATAAATTGATCTTTTGGTAATAACTGAACATCAGTTAATTAATCATAAAAACACCTTTTGTTGATGAACCATTTCACTCATAAATCAAATTGACACTTTCAGTTATTAAGACTGGTAATTAATCTTATGGTCAGTTATTACTTTACTCTATTGTTAAGTATTGATTATTATTGTAATTGGAAAGTGAGCTAAAGGAAGCTTTAGTTTAAAATGATATAAAAAGGGATTAGCTTTCTTAGTTTAACCATATTAACTCCCAGTTTCTTTACCTTTGAACACTCAACCAGCCCAACTAGAGTCAAAGTTGAGCTCCGATGGTTCCCTAACCCACCTCTTCCTACACCTTACAGTTAACTTAACCAGTATTAATTCAAATTAAATCACTTATATTGTAACGGTAGTAATATTGTAACTTTGAAATTGTGTAAACTGTATTGCATCAAGCCATTGTATTGGATATTTTTGGCAATTCGAAAATTTTTGACTTTCTATGGGAATTCACATGTGAATTTTTTTTCGAATTGTGCGCTGAAATTGATGCACACAGCCCTCTGTTGGCGTATTAAGATTATTTCCCAGTAAAAGGAAGTGCAAGGAGTCTTTGTAAAGCCATTATTTTCAATCAAGATTTTTCTTTGAATCTTTTGTGACAAAATGACTGATTTGACACAAGTTCAAAAGGGTTCAAGTTTTTTTATCAAATCGTATTACGCGATAGCAGTACCAGAGTAACGCTTGCAGCATTTCGTAGTGAATACAAAAATTTGAAATGCCATCACGATGGGCTTTCAAAAGGTGCAAACTTTCTTTGTTTGTCTAAGCAAAACTTTCTTCTTCATTATTTCCTCTTTTTTACACGTTGGTTGACTAGTTTGTAGAGAAAGCAACACTACTAGATGTGTGAAAAGTTGCATCTGGTCACGCAACAGAGGTTTTAACACCTGAAAATATCGAAAGAGTTTGAAAATATTTTTAACAAAACCCAAGAACATTAATACGACATGGTTCTATTACCTTAAGATTCTCTTATAGCTCTCTACAACAACACTCCGTAAGGCAATCAAAATTATCCTTACAAGGTTACTAGAGTCCAGCTTTTTTCGGATTAATCGAAAGAGCGTCAGTTAGATTTTACAGCGTCCTTTCTCGGTGTTCTAACTGGAGAAACATTCCCTGTCCAACCTGTTTTCAGTGACGAGGCTCACTCTTGGATGTATGGATACGTTTACCGTCAAAACTACAGGATTTGGGGATCTGAAAATCCAAATTATTTGATTGATGTGAGTCTACGTCTGCAGAAAGTTACTTGTTGGGCTGCACTCTCCGTCAATGGTGTTTTCATGGAAATGTTTACAGAAACAGTTACGCGTGAACGGTACTGCACACTTCTGACCCAAAAGTGGTTTCCATTTGCCGAACGTCATAATGTGATCAATTCCTGGTTTTGCATGCAGAATGGCGCTCAACCACACCGAACAAAGGATGTTTCTGATACGCTATAGGCAAATATGGCCCAAGGGTGATAGCATACGGCTATCCGAAACATACTGGTTCTGGTATAGAATTCCCGCCATACAGTCCCGACCTCAATCCTTGAGCACAGCAAGCCTGCATTTCTTTTCGAAATCTGAGTAGCCGTTGAAAAATTATGCGCCTATATACATGCGCTGCTATTATTGATCTTTCAGTTCAAATTTTGTCTTGCCAAATCCAGAAATTCCACCGGTAACCATATTTTTAAAAATGTGTTGAGCTAACTCTGCAATTATTGTCTTTTCTTTATCATTTGTTCTAATCTCATTGTTCTGTCTGTTAGGTGAATTATGTAGCTCGATGTTAGACTCGTTTGTGAATAGGATTTAATCTCATCAACTCACTTTTCATTGTATTGTCACAATAACCTTGTTTGACTAGGCAATTTCCGGAATATATACGATCATAAATATTTGCTTGAGACAAAAGTACAACTTTCTGGTACTTATAAGCTATTTTACCTCAATCAGTTGAGAGTGCATAGTTAATCATGATTTTCGTCTTGAAATCGTCTTTTCTTGACTCTGGAAGTGTTCAAATAAATTCAGATCTCGCCAATATTTACGTGTTGATGCTCCAGCTTTATCTTTCATCGTATCTTCTATCATCGCCATTGTTGTAGGTGTGGATTTCCTGCTTCTTCCGGTCTCTTTTCGTCCTCAATCGTATCTCTTCTTATCCACCTGTAAAATGTTTAAACATTAATATTGAGTGAGGAAGCAATCTCCACCGGTGAGTAATTTAAATCATTCAATATTTGTATTGTCAACCTAATAATTTTTCTTTGATTAACTTCCATATTAACACAGTATTTCACTAAATAAGAACAGTATTACATAACCAAAAGGTGATCAGACGATCGTAATTCGCCACAAGCTTGAGCATATTAAGCCAAACCCCTTTCCCTTTATTTTCTAACCACTTTGTATTTATTCACCCATTGTCTAGGAAAATTATCAATAAACTTTGGCCATTTCCTAACCTCTTGTGCTGCCCTCCGTCTTTTCTTCAAAGCGGTTGATAATTCTGCGGAAAAGTAATTACTCTTTCTCTTCCTCTGACTGTTAATCCGATAAACGGCTAGAAAATTAATTTATTAATTAATAAATTGTTAAACATGGATTTCCACATGATTTGTTGAAGTGTACAATGATAGTTCAGCTCACCTAAGTTATGACGCAAAGCTTGATTCACAATCAAATGAGCTCACTTTTTGACTCATTTGAGCAAATTTTATTTTCAAAGACTGTAATTTACAGTCACCGTAGCTAAAAATTTAATCATTCCATTTTTGGACCGTTAGATGTCTGCACTCCAAAAAGGCCAACTATACGAGGTTTGGGTGTAGTGATTCAATTTTATTCAATATAATTCAATTTTTACAATACAAGATAGATTAAAGATAGATACATTGTAGATTAAAATTCTCTATTATCTTTGTTTTACCAATAATCTAATCTGTAAATTGATGAAAAACTGTGCAGGTAATCAGTTCAGTGTAAGGTAACCTAGTGGTTACCCTGCACTGAGTGGTTGTATTCAACAAATGAAATCATTTTATGCCCCACACTACTCAGTGCAGGGTACTTAAAAAGTTTCTCTGATCGAAAGCCTTGATAAAATTAAGTTTTGGAGAACTCAAAGTCTCGGCACGTTTGCACTCTTTAGACTCATAGAATAATCAATCCAAAACAAAAGATTTTAATGAGTGAATAAATTATAACGCCTATTAAATACCACGATTAATTTTGTTTTTTGTGTCATAATCAGGGAGATAAATTAAAGATTATACACTCAAGGTGACGTTCAGCAAAGAAGCTGAACCAAATAAATAAGTTTAGGTGATCAGAAATATTCACAAATTGTTTCTGCTTGCTGTAGCTTCTGTAACTTGTAGTTCGATACTATGATTCGTTTCATATCAATCTTACTTTTAAGTCAATATTTTGACTTAATATTATCAGGTAAGTGGTGAACAACTTAAACAAAATTGTTACTATTTTATAATCAAAAATAACATTTTACAGAATCTTTGAATGATATCAGTTTAAAGATTGAAAGTGGATCTTGGATCATCAATTCATCTTTAATTGATTCTGTAAGCATACTATTCAGTTTGATTCTTTGCGATTGTTTTCTGAACAAAATTACTTCTTTGAAAGGAAACCAACACTAAATATACCTTGAACGAGGTTATCTATTCTGGTGAATACATCGAAGGTAAGATTTCGATTTCATCTGGTTCGCTCAAATGGGATGTTATTTACTCAACAAACAACCGAAATCACCGTCTTGTTATTCACGGTAAGGAACTTTGATTGGAAACTTTATCTGAATAAAATGATTTGAGAAACTATTTTTTTGGTTCATTGCTAAATAGATAACCAGTGTGATCTGTTCACTTATAACACGAAATGGGAATCAAAGTTACCGGGAATAACGAATCCATTGTTGAACCACATTCTTCTGGTTGGACCTTCAGTTACACATAGACTGGGCCAACTTTCATGGGTAATTATATCATAAGTATGACTAAAACTACGTGAAATCACATCAAACCAATTACCATGTTCCCCAATCTTTGAGTGCTCAAATTTTATCAGCATATAAGCACTTTGGTAATAACCACGAGAACACGGTGACCCTTAATACGTTTGAAATGCGATGCGTAATTTGAATGCGTTGCTCAAATTGTCATAAATATTGAAGCAATAGTATTATTTTGCTGAAGTTTGAAAGATCAACCTATTGTTTCCTAAAAAACTTCTTTCAGATTCATTCAAATTGAGCTCATTTAAACTTATTACAATTCAAGCAAATTTAAAGAGGTTAAAAACAAAAGATCATAAACTAAAATAAAGAATATTAAAACGTACCATATTGATTCACTTAAACTTTTCGTTCATCCAGCAAGAAGAGCCTGACACTGAAAAGAGAGGAGTAACAATGCACAGTAAAAGCACTACGCTTGAAGAAAGCCGTTTGAATATAACTAATTATTACATGAAAGGTGAGTTTCATTTGTTTTTATCTCTGGAAAAGAATGAGAAATCGTCTGCATTAAATGAATTTTTGGCCCTGCTTGATAGGATGCATTGTAAGAAATGATTATGTAGAGCAAAGTTTGTTTAATTGTGCTTCTTAAACCCTTTTAAGCAAACGAGTATAATCAATTAATTACTATCAACATCGATTCAATGCCTTATGTAATGAGTCTTAAGTCAATGTTGATAAGCAAAAATTCATCTCAAAAAAATTGACTATCGATATGAGTGTTAGCGAACTTGGGAAAGTTTTTAATTGAACGTACCTTGCAAATTGAATTAGAAACGCGTCTTTGCTTTTACCATTAAATCAAATAGCCAACTCTATTTATTTAAACATTTATGAAAATTTTCATAATTAGTGCCAAATCCGTCTATAAAAAGGATAGCTGAATTGATTTATTTAAAAAGATGAGAACCTAATTTTCATAATAATTATTTATCTGATATGTTTAAAACATAACTTTATTGACTCTTCAGTTGAATCGCTTCAAGACAACATTGAACCAAG